ACACAGTTGTTTTTAAATCTTTGGTGGGTGACCTATGCTGCAAGATGTGTAACAGACGTCAGTAAACATGTGATGCACTTATATGTATAGAGGATCCATCTTCATTGAAGAGAATGTAAGATCCATGAGTTATCCTGCAAGTCGAATATCATAACTAATCCTTGCATCGCTCATCGGAATATTAAAGCCTTTGATTGAATCGACGATTACGAGTGAAATGTTTATGTGAATCACAAATGTTTGCTTTGAACTAACTTATTTCCCCCTATGTTAAAAGATATTTCTTGTATACTCTACATTTATGTCATCATAATAGCTTGTATCTAACAGAAAATAAAGTAGTACCTTCAAATATGTTCAATTACGTGAATTACTAACACTGGTAAACGCGGGAGAATAAGTATGCAATATGGTGTTTTGAGACTTCTTTGAGTCTCTATAATAGCCAACCGTATCGAAACATAAGTTTGGGTGTGATTTATGCAATTATATCCTAACTAATATTCTAATAGTTTCTCTGCCACAAAATGGCGTGCTATGCAGCTAAACCGTCACTAACCTTGAAATCGCTGAATTCCTCACTATGATTCTGTCTAACAATCAACTAATGTGCAGAGACATAGTGCTTGAAAAGATTCACTTTTAGCGAAGACAGTGAGTAACGTTGTACGGACAACCGTGAATTTAATTCTCAATATGCACGTTTTCTAACAATACAAGAGAAACGACTAAAAATCCAATACTTCGACGCTAGTACAGACAACGACACAACTCAACCAACATCTACTTTGTTGAAACAAACCAGTACGTCTTTTTATATCGGTTACAAATATTCTTTGAGTTACTTGGAGTCAATGGTAGTAGCCAAACTGCACAATAACACGGTTACTCGATTGTACGTTGTACCATTTAATAATGACCAATAATCTCGAAAAATTCAAAGTAACCCAATAGAAAGAGCTGACACCTCCTAAAAATGAATTTACTTAATATGCCTGGTAAATGGTTGAAAAATAGAACCGTTTATTCAGTTATGAAGTACTGTGTCATTTTCTGTAGTGTAAGACATCCCTCTCATTAAACATAAAATACCTCGATACTAAAGCTCCTACATTACTGTTAAAGGTTCCCATGGTAAAAAATAACGAACAATACAGTTAAAATTGTTTATAACCCAAATCAAAACGGTTTACTATCCTTCGTCAGGATTAGCTGAACCTGATGCTTGTCTCATGAGTTTCAATTACTGCCACAATTATTCCTATCAAGATTACTGCTATTATTAATATTGCTGTTCGCTAATCTCTTGTCATGATAAACTTCTCTTGAGGACGACTGTCATGAGTTGGAGGGATTACGAAAGCTAACTACCAGTGGGATTTGAGAATCCCGAGGTCTAACAAAGGTGTAGGGCCAATGAAATATCACCGAGCACTAGCCAAATCATCCGGCAGTTGGGTCACCGAATATCGAACAGATCATTGATCCATGTCAAAGTCAAGGACAACCGACACGCGTCAGTTAATCGTACGCAATGTACTGGCCTATGTGGTGATGGTCACACATTCGCCTGTACCTACTTCAACTTATATATTTCTGTAATAACATCCTTTGTGTTGTACGGTCTTCAAAGCATCCATAGCACCCAGATACGACGGAGTAACCCACGTAAGGTGCTAATCGTGAAGTGTGACTTCGACATTAGCTGTTGGTCACACCATTCACGTCTAACTTGAGTAGGCCCCCAATCATTCGACAGAGACCATCAACGTTTATGATCCACAGAGGTCTACATAGATCGAATAGAGAAGTAGGACCTCCTTACTTTGTTCTATCGTTTATTCAAAGGTGATCTGATTCAGGTGTATAGAATAATGAGAAATGATGTCGGATCTGATGTATCTTTTCCATTACTTCCCATTAGATCGGGACATATCAAATAGCATAACAGGCGAGCTCGAAAGCTAAGGTTGAACAAATACCCGTAGCATACAGGTTTTCTCACCGGGTCACCAACCCTTGGAACCCGTCGCCTTGGGAAGTGGTGTTCGTACATTCAAGTCACTCATTCCATAGAAGAACAGATACACAAGCCTACTAGAAAAGAACTAACACAATACAGATATCTGAGATCTGTATCATCATTTGTACATTTTCTCAAGAAGTAATTCGCCATAAAGAAAGTTGACAAACATTTTGCATTCACATTAAACATACAGAAAATTCAGATAGTTTATGTTACACAGAACAGTTCAGAAACAATATAATAATAATAACTACTTAAAAATAAAAAGAGTAATCCTTCTCAAAAGTAACAAAAAACAAGATTTAAGGGAAATAATGAAACAAATAATCATTTGATTCAGATTAATTAGAAATACTACATTTTCTTGCTGCATCGATCATCAAAATTTTCTTTACCCATTATGTTGATACAGGACGACCGGTTGGATCAATAAACAAGTGTCTACACAATGGACAAGCAGGATTTCGACTAGTTGTAAACCATTTGTACATGCAAGCATAATGAAATAGTTTACGACAGGTGTGACATCGCATTTTAGGCAAACTGAAATTTGTGTTGTGCACAATCGAGTAACAAATTGCACATTCTTCAACACCATCGAATTTTTTCCGAACATTACTTTGCCACAAATCAATACCATCTAAAATCGATCCATTCTAAATGACACAAACAACACAGAGGCAGAAATACTAATTCAATTCAAGAGATTTAGGTTAAATAATATATCGTTTTAATGGTGTTGATTCACACTCATGGAACTTGTTTAATAAAAGTTCGTTAAATTTGGATGTTCAATACAAATAATAACAACCAGATTTCAGAATACGAATTATGGAATGAGTGTATTTTAGATTATGTTCTATTTAATAAGTCCGACATATAGAAGTGAACATATCACTTTGTAGCGATTATATTATTTGAACGTTTTCTGTTCCACCCAAATTCTGATTATTTTACAAAAGCATGTGCAGAGGGGCCTTTCCTTAAGAAATTTCACATACACGGTCCCCCTTCTTTTCAAGATAATTAGGGAAACTAAGTGTAAAACTTTTCAAAAACCCATTTAACTATTTTTTTATGTGGTTTTCAATACTGACACAAATTTGAAAACTCTGTAGTCCCACTATCGCTCTCATGTTACGAGACCACCGAATGAGATAGGCTTAATTTAGCGTTTAGAGTAAACCATTTGATGCAACTGTGAACCTATATAGATAGAGTGGCTGACACATGTACTATGGATGGACATAAGTTGCGGAAAATTTGCCTAAAGGTCACTACTAAATTGCTAGTCTGAAGTGAATACTTATCCAAGTCACTTCATAAAACTTGAATTTCCCTTTTCTTTCCCTACTTTCACTTTATCCACAAAAATCACTCTTTCCTAACTAGCGCTTTAGTATTCAGCAGACAGTTAAGGTTATAGTGTTCGACCAAAGGCAATAAGCTTAAAGATATCTAAATCGAGCTCAAATGTAGGGTTGAGGAGTGCTGCTTCTAAGCTGTAATGTCACAATCAACGCTCTGATATATTGGATTAAGAGTAAATGTTGGAACTCGTCGTGTTAACACGATGTAAAGTAGTTCAAAATGTGATGTTTTATTTGTTATGCCTGCATAAGCAGTATTCTACTCACCAAATCATATTGTTGATTAACATTTTAGACATACCTTACCTATGGAATTAACTAGTAAAAACTTATTACAATTGGAATAATTATCTATCACACCACAAAGGACTTAAAATGAAATTGAAGGAGACACTCCTAATTTCAGATGAAAGCATTAGATTACAGTCTATATTATATATTTAACACTAAATTCAGATAAATATCTATAAACGTGATTGGTTTCAAATGCCAATCAGACACAATCAACAATGGTTAACTGGAAAAAAGATTACATCGAAATACACAAAATAAGAATAAACGTCTATCAACTCACATGATTATTAACAAAAACAGACATTTGTAAAAGCCATGACTGCCACTGTTGACTTCCTACACCAACACTACGCCCTTTACTAACAGTAATTGGACTTAAAGGATAGTTGTTTGGCAACTGAATAACCATTTCCATCGAATGATCATCTCCCACGTAATATGTGGCAATAATCTAAATGAATTTGTTTAATAACTCAATATTATTTACATAATAAAGCTGAATTGTAACGGTCGAAGTAGAATGAAATGTGTTATATTTGTGCTTGGACACATGATGAGTTTATGTAATTTCTTCAAATATTGACAAAATATACACATAAAGCACTGTGTTGAATGTTCTAAACAGCGATAGCGCTTGTTCAAAGCAGTGAATACTTTAAAATAGTATGTTAAGTACGCATTTTCATCGCAGTCAGTAGTATGACTTACCAAGCTATACAACAGAGAAGTGCTGGGAAAAGGTAGGTACGGAAGTAGTTGGTAGGCGGTCCTGACCCCAAACCAACGACTCACATGGGCTTCAGCATCCTCAGGGAACAAATGTTGCACGGAATTACTTTTGGATCCCGGCAACCATAGGTGTCATATCTGGACGAAGAATAATTGAACGGTAACTGTCAGGACCTATATATGGATTTTGCGATATATATTCTCATTGTATAATTATTAAGCAACTAAGTTACATGTATATTCATTTTCTTATTATAAGCTTCCATTTGACCTATTGGCTACTACTATACGGTTTACTGAACTTAAGTTATTCCCACTTTATTAGTTACAGTCTCTCACACTCGCAGCCACTTTCGACCTGATCTTGTATAATTCCTACTTTCTATTTTATGGAATGATGCGGTCTGACTTGTTTGTGTATAAACTGCGTCTGTTCGAAATACATTATTCATATAGGGGAAGCTGATGTTGATCAGGTTAGTGAATCTCTCCACCTAAAGATAACCTCACAAAACTAAAATTCTGGCTTAGAACGCCTAACTGTTATGATAGTTCTCGGTTCTTCACAGCATCCAGGAATTGGAAAATGGATCAGTGGCCTTGAAACAACATTCGACAAAAATGTCTCGTGTGCAGTGAAGGTCGCAGTAGCCGCAATAAAGTGTATGTCAAAGTTTTCTTCGACGTTTTAGCGCGTTCTTGGCCTATGAGGGATGAGTTTCAGTTCAGAGTCTAGCTGAGGCGACCACCCTCGCATACGGGAAAACATATTTGAGACAGAAGGATGGATTAGCCTTCAGCTATGAAATACTTTGTTTGGCTCAAAGTGCTCTGATGCGAGCCTTGTTATATAAGGTTACCTTTAACGTATATCTTTAAATGTCCTTAACTAAAGTCTACGAATGAACTTCGCATTTAGATCCCGATGACGAAGTAATATATTTAGTGGAGACTGAGTACTGTGCATCATATCTGAAAGGTTTAAAGACATAGTTTGTTCTGGAGGTTATGCCGCTTTTTGGAGGCTGATTGTTGAGTGAAGATTCTTGTCTGTAATCCGGATGGGGTTTGTGACTATCAATGCGAGTATACTGTGCAACATTCTCCTGTGTTGCCATATAGTTGAGACGGCGTTCCAGGGTGGGATATATGGTGCTAGCAGCTGACCTTAAGGTCAGTGTGTATTATTAAGGTTAAGCTTAAAATCCCAAGTTGAGGAGATAGTTTAATCGATGGAGTCAGTATGCGGTATATCTGAAAACTACTGCGTTTGTCTGTTGATATTTCACTTTTTAGTTGTTCACTCCTTGAGCTGTCGGCAAATGTGGCAACTAAAATACTTCAGCAATTGCAGCATAAAACGATGAGTTCTATTTCACTAGTGCTCCTAGAAAATGTATCCTAGTAACTTAAGGTGGTTTACTAAATTATACAGTCAATGGAAATGAAAAATCTTTATCTGTTCACTTCGTTCGACATTATTTGACCATGTGCTTCATTAGGAATCTCAAGTTAAAAAGTTGATATTAAAGCGAAGGGGGAAAATGAGTAAATATTGAGGGTCTGTTTAAAAAATCTCTAAATAAAATGGTCCGAAAGTGCCAAATTACCTTGGTCATTAGTTTGACTTTTCTATCCATCCTCGATGAATAAGCTGTAACCACAAAGGGTCAAGGCTGAATGATATTTATAGAATTCCAACTGGTTGTTACATCAAGACATGGGGGTAAGTATTCGAATGCTTTGACCACCTAACATACCTTGGAGTCTCATCAGTCGTAGTGAATTAGTGTAATCTCGGCACGGATACATGAAGCTCGTTTTGATGTGGCTGACTCACACCTATTGTTCAGGCCAGCTGCTTATCTGTCAGTTAGTCATAAGCAATGTTGAGCCTTGCACGGTTTTGCATCGGTCCCATTTGTCTCACATCAGTTCAGGGAGATAAAATTACCAAAAATCTCCCAGATGAGTAGAATTAGTAATATTATTAGCGGTGATAAAAGATTAGGCATAGGCAGTGTGATTCGAGAAAGAATGGATTTGCCACACAAAAAGCAAGATATCTTTTAGACTCAAGAACTAGAGGGAAATAGAGCGAATACACTTACGACATTGTTACCTATTCCTAGTCATGTCACACCTCAGGCAGACTGAGGACACGCAACCGTTTCTCTCTATTGTCCTAATTTAAGATTAGGATTGGACGGGGCTGCTCAATCTCATGATTCCTGTTCAGCTTTGACATGAATAACATTCTAGAAACAGCTCCGATAGAAGTAGATAGTGGTGGTGTTGATCTATTACTTAGAGAAGCACTGTTTGATCTTCAGTATGAGGATGATATTGTCTTACTGTACGATGATAATCAACCTATGAAAATCGTACATTATCAGTTGACAATCAGTGTCCGTATGTATGGTACATACTTTACACCTAAATGCGAAGTTCTTTACAAGACTAGTAGAAATATGTGCCTACACTTACTTTGTGGTAATTTGTTTAAAGTAGTCGAAAGAATTCGTGTGTCTGGGTAGCTGAGCAAGTCCTGGTGGTGGCGTGAGTGATAAGATCATATCGTATCATGAAAGCCATAGCAGCTTGTGACAATCTGGGCCATCTTCGGCGCCTTCGTGATATTAATGTGGTTAAAAAGTCCGGATTTACAATGTGGTGGTGAGAGCAGTTCTGCTCTATACTCGTGAAACCTGGCCTCTCCGAGTTAAGGACGTCAGACGACTCTGCATTCGATCGTCATTGTCTCCGAAGGATTGCTGACATCCAGTGGTAACACCATGTTAGCAAGGCGGAGATGCAGCAACATGTGTTCAGTGGTTGTGACGATAATTCGATTGGTGTCGCCATCTGCAAATACCGACTTCAATAACTTGAATATGTGCTACGAATGTTGTCCCAGAGAAATTCACATCGTTCAGTACTTGCCGATGTTGGGACTGGTTGGGTAAAGCGGAGAGGTGGTCAGTGTATGACATATTGTCGTGGTATGAGAGAAAGCTGTACAGGACTGGCATCTGTCCACCCCTCACGACTCCCTGGTTGGGGTTCTAGAGATAATGGAATACTGACTTGAGGCATTATCAGACATGGTTCTGAATAGAAGCCAGTAGCGATCATACATTCTCTCCTTTCTATCCCTTCACAATTCCATTTACTTATTTATGTGGAGTATATTTATTCAGGTTCCCACTTGTACCAGTATTTATGTACTTCAATAAATAAATAAAACTTCAAAATCACTATAACAAGTAGTTTAATGAAGGGACATATTCGGAATGAGTTTATTTGTGTGTCGTAGGTATATCGAACTACTGTCATCCACAGTTCGCAGTACTTGCTAAAGAAAGTCGAAGGCTAGCAGGTCTTGATACAGCTTCAATCCTTAAGGCCATTAACTGTTGTTCTGAACTTTGGCGGTATGCGCAGATATCCAAGTTAGAACAATCGATTTAGTCACTATCTAGAGTTGAAGACGAGTGATCTCAGTCGAAATAGATAATATACGTTCAATTTTTTCCTTTTCGATTTTGTTTGCAGCATAATTACATACTTTTTATTCGGTGTAGTCATTTCTTTCCAAACAGTACGCTGAAGCTTAGTCTTGTAACCGTCTTCGAAACTACTGCTTTCACGGTTTTAGTATTCATCCTGTGAATTTTAATTCAGTATCCTGAGAAGGATTAGGGAAGCTTGCCTGCGTTTATACTCATCAGTTGAAATAATCAAAGCCTATGTTGCACATATCTAACCTATCTTCATCGTAATAGTGTTATGATGTGTTTTTTGACGAACTTACTAAAACCCTTGATATACCAAGTTTTCATGTTTTTAATCTAAGTGTTGACAAGATTGTCACTTTGCTTTTTGAAAATTTTGATGATTTTCGTGAATACATGTATCTTTCCTTTATAGGTCAGTCCCTCATTACTTATAATTCATCTACTATGGGAGGGAAAAAAAAGGCTACTACTCATAAACCAAGAGTTAAGGAAAATTCTAAGCCTTCCAGCAGCGACAAGGCCACTAGGTTTTTGGTTGAACATACTGGAGGTCTAGGGGTACCTTTAACATGTCTTTTGGATACGAAATTACAAAGTGTCATGCTTAATACTGATGAGCTGAAAACGGAAAGTTGTCAGGGGAAGTTAACTGGGTTCGTTCCTATCCTTCAAGACCCAGATGCATCAGGTTTAGACACACAACTTCTAAATATTTTAAGACGTCTAGAAAAGCGCGATTCGGTTACCAAACAAAAGGCATTGCGTGAATTCTGTGAACTTCTCAAACCCGAATCAAATAAATCTGAGTGCATTTCTGTGAGTACAAGCTCAATTGTGGCTGTTTTACCATTTTGGCCAAGAATTTACCATCGTCTTTCGTTTGATGGGGATAGGAAAGTTCGTGAACTCGTTCAAACAACTATGCATGCACTTGCATCTCGTGTTGGCAAAGATTTAGGTCTATACCTAAAGCAGGTAAATGTTATCCATAAGTTTGTACCATTTCAATGTAATCTTTAATTATAATTTATGACCAATAAACGTAGTTTGGTACTAATGATGGTCACCACAGTAATGTATGACCGTTCTAGAATCTTCAATTCTGGCATCTATTTAGGTTACACTTATAGATGTCTTTACATATCCCTGGTTGTCATTTTACGCATTTAATCTTTCCTCTAACTGTGAAGGAATTTCAAATGAAATACGTAGGTAGTTTTTTTCTACTTAATCACTTCATGTAACCAAACCTAGTTTAACATGACACGGGCCCGTGTGTATTTAGACATTGTTTCTACTTCAAGTCACTGGATAAAGGTAGAATAGTTAGTTGGTGTGCAAATACCGTGGTTATTGGTAGTTAACAAAAAAAGTGAGCAGATATGCTCGAGAGATTGAGATTTTCAGGCGAATCTGATATTGTAATTGTTTGTAATGTTCATCCCAAGACTTTGTAACTTTCAAAACCTTATGTTTTTTATATAGATTTTAAATTTCACGTCAATAAAAATAATCTTATCTGTGGCGTATTTCAGTGTTCTTTATTGTGAAGATTTTTAAATTCATGCAACTCACTAACTAAACGTAAAGTGTTTTTTAACTGACATTTGATCCAAAGTATAAATGAAGATGCTAGAGATTTTAGCTTGACAGATATTTAAGAAAACAATGAAAACTGTATAAATAACCTATTTGAACGCTTTTTATTAGTAATCAGATTAGATTCATCTCTACCTTTTTAGATATTAGTTTACTGAATATCATCTATTTTTATTTTGGCTTATATGATGATACTTTTTAGATTGTACCAATATGGACTTTTTCTACAGTTGATACCTATGAATCAGCAGCCCTATATGCTACTAAAGGGTTGTATGACACCTTTCCGGGGAAGAAACTAATAGATGTTCACTGTCTGTGCTCTAAACAACTCTTAGATATGGTTGAAACTCAATTATTTGAACTAACACGTAAAACATGTGCAGATACAGTGTCATATTCCTCTTCGAAACATTGTTCATCCATGAAGAATGACGACAACCCTGTGGGAAATACCAGTACGGAGTTATCGTCTTACTCTTTTGACCTTTCATCAACGTTGCGCTTCTTGACCTCCTTTGTTGGTAATCTGGTTCATCTTTCACCAGATCACAAACAACTGATTCGCCTAAAAATGTTGTTATGTCCTGAAGGTATTTGGGATAAAGTGGTACGTTGTTTAAAAACTTTAAGGAGCGAACAAAATCCTAATTGCCTAGATCAAACCTACGGGACATTGTCTGGAGCTTGTATCGCTGTGTATAGGCTGTGTTCGGTTTTGTGTCGTAATTCTTCTTGGTGTCGGTGGATGAAGGAAGCAAGTGATGGGAAGGTTCTGGGTGAATATATCAGCAATATAACCGTTGGATCACTGGGTGTTACTTGCATACTACTTGAAAATACATTTACTAGTAAATCAGTTGATATTCGCACTCCTTTGGAGCTCAGCACTAGTGTGTATTCTTCACTCTGGGATGCAGCTTTGGCTTGTTTAACTGGACTATCTGGTGAATTTGTGTGGTCTGTCGTGGATTGGAGTCAAACGTTTGTTACGAGATTGGAAAATCTTCTTAATTATTCCGAGAAGATTCAAGCTAAACAGGTTAATTAAACAGTTTTTATTTTATCTTGAAATTGTAACAATACATTCTTTCAAGGCTACATCAGGGACAGTTATATTTGATTGCTTTTTATTTACAATTCAGTGCAATCTATGCATTGCTAACACTTCACTTCTCTGTCAATATCATATGTTATCGTGACCTTGGTCTGTTCACTGACTTGTAGTTAAATATGCAAAGAGATCCTTCTCGAAACCATTTGATGACCTTAATGCTTTGGGTTACTTGAAACTGATTGCATGAGGCGAACTTATGACCGATTGGTCTTAAGGGTAGTAAACTATCCTATTTCCTGACTAATGATCTACTATAAGAGTACTGATTAGGCGACAAACGAAGAAAGAAAACGACTATATTAAAGATCTTTTTATCTAATTATTATAACTCAAAAGGGTTCACACTTAAATATGTAAATAAGTGGACAACAACGCATAATAAATAAAAGGAAAGTATGTGCTAAAATTGGACATTTAAGGTACAAAGATAGTACAAAAGGTTCGCTTTTAAATTACAATAAATTTGAAATCGAAAATATAACAATAAGTCATGGATTAAACAAGAACATATGATTTAAGAAATAAGGTGGTCATATAAATTAGATATTAGTAATTGCAGATTATGAATTAAACGAACTGATGTCCCGAAAATCATCCTTTATAATTTGTAATTTCACTATTTTCTTCACAGCATATGTTCATATATCTTTTTATGAAAATGAGTTATATTTTACCAATGGATAGGTTTTAAACTTATCACATGTATGTAATTAAGGCCTTGAATTTTTTAAAGCTATATCTACCAGCTGGTGTTTTCGACTTAATTAGGTTTATTATCTTTAAAAATGATATCTCCAAAGTGAATAAAAGGAAAGACAAACAGGTAAATAGTAATAATAATACTTCGATTTGTTTTTTCATTATAAAAGGTCTGTCATGCATTTTGAAATGTAGTACACTGTTAAAACTATATTTATGTAATAAACAATTCAAACCAAATGTAATTACACCAGTAGAATGAATAAATTGCGAAAGAGCAGACATCATAAATTACTAGGCGTACCTGAGAGTTTGGTTTCATGTTTTTTGAGATCACCTACATGCAAAAAGCACGTCCACAATATAACGGGCAGAAATTAGATCTAATAGTCAGGTCTTAATTTTATTGGAGGGTGAGAGGCTTTCAAAAATCATTACCCTTAGTCGCTTATATCTTAAATAATAAATAATTATATTTATCGTTGTGTGCAACAACATTTCTAACTGTTTATCTTGAGGTTTGGTCTCAGTTTAGTCGGGTTTGTGTCGACAATTCAATTTCTTGTGTAGTTATCGGTCAGTAACATCGTACCATTGCGTATATTTTATCACTTAGCGTTCCATACTTTACAACACTACGAAACATCCACATTCGTTACAATTGTTTAAACCTTTTCATAACATGTATCTTAAATATTATGGTTGGTTTTTTACTGGCTCTATAACATTATTGTTCAATATGTTCAGGTTCGATAGTTAAGTTTTAAACTGAATATTGAAGATTAAAATCATTAATTTATAAAGCTATAAGACAAGATGAGTGTTATGGAACATAAACTAAGATTTATAAAATACATGTAAACAGTAAATTTACTGCTTGATGTTCAACATGACTTGGTTTGGTTTTCGAATAAAGAACCTTTCATTTCAGTCTCAACGTTTCCTAAATGACAGTCAGAATACGCATAACTCATCAAATCCTTATGTATCTACGTTTATATTATTTTGATGGTTCCAAGAATCTCGAAGCAGAAAACTGGTAAATGCATAACTAACAATTTTTTCGAACTCATTTTTGTTTTCTACAAGCACCAAACAAGTGTTAACACTCGTAATCCTAATTCGTTTTTAATTTTTAGGCTTATACACATTTACTATGTCTTGTGAATGAATTTCCTCTGGATTATTGTAATTTAAAAATCCATGAGTTGGAGATATTAGAAAAACTTTTTATTGACTCAACTTTGTTAGGATTACACCGTTCACTTGGTCACACACGCGTTTCAGATGGTGACTACAGTGAAACTGGTTCATACCATTCAGACGATCCGGACGTATCCCTTGTTATAGCCACAGGGACTATGGAATGTGTACGATATTTTATTGATCGATTGCTAACACCCATGGACGATGAGAACAGAAAAGAAGTTCTTTTGGCTAAAAAGTTGTATTCAAAGGTTCTTATACGTCTTTTTTCTGACTGTCTTATTACACATGCACGAGTCCATACTTCTCCAAAATTGGTTTGCAGTCGTCCACCACTCTCCAGGCAATCCTACTTAAATATTGTTTTCAATCAAGTGAGTTCGACGATTAAATTATCTGGTATATATATTTACGGTTTAGAACTAGACTCGAACTTACCCTTCATAGTCTATAATTTCTCACATTTCTCATATTTTCGACAAGTTATGCTTTAGATATAGTAATTCACTATCTTTCCCCTTATATATTATTACATTTATAAACTTATCCTATCGGCGATTGGATGGGATAACAATTCCTTTTTTAAGCGATTAATCTCTGTTAACATTTTCACCATTTTAATATGATTAACGTTTTGATTAGTAGGTCATATTTAATTTCAAAGTAAACCACAATTAATATTCGTAATTTCCTACATATTAATCTTTGCTCACTGAGATCGTTTAATGCTAACTGGCTGAAACACTTAAAATAGGTTATATTTGTTGTTCAAGTAGGCTAGTCAGATTGTTTTTCAGATGATCTTGCGTAGTATAAGTAGAATGTTAAAATCATAATGTTAAGTCTTTATGGTAGTGGCCACATTTATTTTATGATAGATTTCCTCATAGTAGAATCCATATAACATTAAAGTTTAGGGTTATTAATTTACTCTCGCTTCATTTAACTTGATTTGCTCAGGTCAATATTTCTTAACGTCATCACTATACACCCCGCCATACAAATGTGCACGTAAGTAATGGGTTATATTTATTTTTCTGCATTTTATATTTCTTACTTTTCCTTAGACTGCAAAGTTTTGCAATAATATTGCTCAATCTAATCATCAGCTAAAAATACAAATGTATGATGAATTAAGAAATACTTTATTCAAATGGATTTCCTTAGGACAATCAAACGAATTCTTAACACCAATAATTGACGTCGGCAAAGTGGATCGTTTGTTTATTGGAGTTGTTGATCCGTTACGATTAATCAGCTTTGTAAATCATTTAGCTAAATCCAGCAACCAGAAAGTTAACCGTTATATACATAATGATTCAAAAATTTCACAAAGAGTAGATAATAAAATGAATTATTGTGATTTAACTTTTACTGTGCAAACAGAGTGGTGCATTAATCTATTTTGCAGTATTAGTGATATATTACTAAACAACATGAATGCAAATTTGTTTGAAGACAGTCCAAATGATAGTTTCCATATTTTGGTATTCTTATGCATCTACGGTTATCTCCCTTTGAAATCTTTCTCTGCTCCATGTATTCTTCGAAAAGTATTTTCTTCACTGTTGTCTAAACTACCTTATGAAGTGCATGCAATTTGTTGGTCCTATCCAGTTATACAAGGCTTAGCCAAATTATGGATTCTTTCTTCTGAAAACATTGATAATGAACGAGACATCCCCAATAATTCATCGATTTGCTTATTATTCACTAATAATATACTTCCAGTACTGATTCAGTCATTACCAAGTCTAGGGAATATTTTCGATTCAGCCAGTGTTTGTACAAAATTATTATCAAATCGTGTTAGCAACACTTTATGTTTTTGGGCGCAGGTATGGTTTGACAAAGTGGTTATAAGTGATGAAATTCCTTTTCCAACAGTTGTTATATCATTCATGAATAATCTGCATTCTTTAATAACAAATTCTTTCCATCACATATCAAGCAATAATAGTAATAATGATTGTAATTCACCTGAGATGATTATTCCTATCCGGTTGGTTGGAACGTTGTCTACTTGTCTTAAACGACGCTATGCAAATGTGTTGTTCTGCGATAATACCAACTGTAATGTCACTAATGCATCAGAATTAAGAATCGTTGGAAGTTTGTTAATTCATTTACTACATATGATAAACAACAATAATGTATTCAGTTCATCCTGCTTAAATTATCTTTATTTATTTCTGACAAAAATCCTGTTTTGTTCATATAGCATTAGCGCATTCGTTAAAATTAACGAATCCCTAGATGCTTCTTATTCATCAAAATCTAATGCAGATGATCACTTTTTACCTAATGTTATTTTAACTAATGATGACAATCATCATGCGTACAATTATGAAGATGGTGATAATGATGTTGTGTTTAATTTAAAAGAATTAATTAACCGTTCAGAGGTAATTATTTTAAAACGATTAAATCTCGAAGAACTGAAAGATTGCAATGAGGAAAGCTTCTTTAATCAATTCTCTAATCTAATTTTCACGAATACCGTTTCTTCAAAATTTATCACGCCATTATTTTATCATTTTATTTCTCGTATTTATTCAACTGTACATGATAAACTAAATTCTTCATCTTCCGTTTCATACTTTTCTATGCTCTGGCTGAAATATTTGGTCAAACACGTAAAACTTGTTTTAGAAGCAGTTGTAAAAATATATCCTTTACCCGAAACATTTTTAATTTCCCGCCATCTTTTACACGATCACAGCATATCTCCGTTATTTGTATTGCCAAATTTCGGTCAGTTAGTCCGCTTACATCAATTGGGTTTATTATTACGTCTTCATGTGCAGTTTATGTCATGCGATAACGATGTTTGTTCAACTCAATATTTACTATGTCTTGGATTTATACGTGTCTGGATATCAAGCTTTCGTGAGCCATTGGATATATGTATTGATATTGGTTTGTCTTCAAAGCAAACAGATTTAAGTGTATTGAATATAAATGGTCAACTTGAGAACTTTGAGTCATCAATGTCCTCATTTGAAGAAAATAGAGTGTTGCTTGATAAAACGTTGGGATCATTTTGGCATGAATTTACATCTGACCTTCCACTTTCACGCCTCTTGAGCTTATCATCACCAAACGCTTTGAAATACATTGTTGAATCAGAGTCACAAACTTATCATATTCTACAATCAACAGTAAATAGCTTGTTATTGAACCGTTTACGTACTATGCATCCAAATTTATGGCCTCATGATATCAAACTTGCAGCTAGTTGTAACGATGATGATAATCAAAACTTAACGTGGACTGACTTATATTTTCCACTTAATTCATCAGCAGAAAACATTTATTCAGATAAAATACGTTTTAATACGTGTATTGAGCTTTATTTACCTGCAGGTGTAGTTCGTCGTTGTCTGTCAAGGCAAGAATTGCTCGGCCGATTAAAAAGTTTTTCTTTATCTGTCGAAAAGTGCAACTTATCAGATTTAAGTGATCACCACTTAAAAACTCATGCTTATATTATTGAGTTGATTTCAGCTCTTGCAAATGTTCGCGCAACTGCACCTATTTACCTCACAACATTTTCTTCTATTATTCTAGAGGATTACCGAACATGGTTAGCCAAATTAACTACTTCTGCTACGGAGGATAAAAGTTTATGTTTAAAGTCACCAGTAGTGTTTAATCTATGTCTTTCAACAATTAGTTACCTTGAATGTTTATTATTGTTGTGGCAGCCTTGGCAATGGAGCGCCATAGAATCCGAAAAATCCCCAATATCTGTCAGACCGGGTCTCGTTCAGTTGAGTATGAGAATGCGTCAGTTAAGACCTTCTTTATCTGTTGAACAGTGGGATTTTGTTCTTTGTTTGACTGTGAGTTGGGTTTATTCAGTTGGTCATTATTTTTGTGGCTCATCTAATCCTGGTGTCGAAAAAACTTTATATGATTTACTCGCAACTCGAGTGTTTCGAATGTCTGCTGCACTTGGTGCAATATTTATTGAACGTTATTCACATTTACCTCTATCGGATTGCATCATTTTAAAGGAAACTAATATAGGTAAAAAAGTGATTCAGTCCGACAACATGGATGCACACGATGCTGATGAGTGTGAGGATGAAGAACCTGTAAATGAGTTTTTTGACGAAGAAGAACATGCAAAAACATTTTCTGATATTCAGTGTGATAGTGATGACCAATCTAAAAACGTTCTTTCAGAAAATGTGAATATAGACTTCGAAGAGGAACTGGAGACTGACATTAATCAGATGGGTATAGAAGATGCCGATTTAGATGATGAAGAATATATGTATCGTGTTTTCGCAAAAGGACTACCTCTCATACCTCGTCGAGGAGAGGCACCTCCACTTGTTCGAAATGACTGGGAAAACTTTTTCGCTCCTGATCACTACTCCACATTCCTGCGACTTGTCTTAAAAAGCTGCATCCCATTGGAATATAGCAAATCTCAGGCTGTCCTTGATACTGATGTCTACATTCAGGCTTTGTGTGCTGCGTTTGCCACTTGTCCTGTTAATCATCTAATAACTGCTTTCAGTAATCAATCTTCATTGGTTTTTGAGTACTTGAGTGATGTCCAATTAAAGATAGGTCAACCTTGCATGATAAGCCAACTTTTCCCGTCTAAGATTGGGTCTGTAAATGATTTCACTGTCGGATTTCGTGCTAGTCTAGATATGGCTTGCAAGTTAATTGCTTACTCACCTCACCAGTCTGGTCAACTCCTCGGTTATATTTTATTAAACAGACTCTCTGGAACTCGTGTACTACAAGGCAAGAATGAAACTTCGATATCTATAGCTAATTATATGATCCGTCGTATTCCAACCTCTTGGATGTCGGCTTTATCAGGACTGTTACCTTCCTCTGTTGAGAAGTATCTGCAAAGTGAGGTGGCTGCCGATCACTGGGGTCGCGGTAATTCAAGCTTATTGTACTTGCGTGATTTCTCTACTTCTGGCTGGACAGTCAATTGTCAAACTCATCAAGCTCTTCTTGGTTATTTGTTAGCTTGGGATAGTTTATTAAGCTTAATGACTTGTGCTGGACCCCAAACTCGGGCTTCTCTACAAAACTCTCTTTTGAGTTCATCAGCCACTATTTTTGATAGGTTCATGCTTACAATTGGTTTACTTCTTCCATCTTCAGGAAATCTAGGAGATTTTATCAATAATTCTTGTAGACTGGAACCTGATGAACGCCTTTTACTCCCTAACTCAACGTCTCGTATATATCTTACAGCTGCTTTAACTGTATTTTGTTCACGTCGCAACAGTAAACGTTTTGTTAACTTAGTAACATCAGGTTCTACCGGTGATAGTGAGTGGCGAGATGCTTTCTCTCCTGATGACTCACTTCTTCATATCCCTGGACACCGAGTGGCAACCGATATTAACCATTTGGCTGCGAGGCTGTTTCGTCGTTTTCTTTCAGAAGCTCCCGCTTTAGTTCGTGCATGGCATACTCAACTTACTTCTTTATCTAGTTTCCCACAAAGTGTATCTGTACAAATCAGTCCACTTGCTGTCCACCGTCCTGGTCGCTTACGCCAATTAGCTGGTACGATTGATAAAATTGTGTCGAAATATTTTTCGTCCAGTCTAGCTCGAGATGAAGTTGTTTTGGTTCAGTATCGTTCGTATCTCCGATTGTTAAGCAAAGAACGTTCTTCAAAGAGTCTATTTTCTTTGCTTAAAAGTTCAGCTGAAGTTGGAAGTGTTCGGATAAAAGGTCGTCCTTTATCACGAGAAGTAAGTGTGCATTATTTATACGCATATTCACTCATCATCCTTTTAAAATATGTTTACATGAAAGAATATGTATTATTTTGTCCGTTATCCCAAAATAGCGCTAGAAAACATAGTCATAATTTCTTTGTTTTAACTAAAGATAACCATTTTTATTTTATAACGCTATGGAAATCATTTAGTAAATTATATATATGCTTACGTTAGCTTCTTACAGAATTATATTATCCTTAGATTAGTTAATTTGCTGTAACGTTGATATAAACATCATTTAACTGATATAATTCCTTGAAAAAAGAATTCAGAAAATACCTTGGTATATTCAGCGACTAACGTTTTACGGCTCTTGATCTCACTTTCTAGATATTTCGACTGAGATCACTCGTCTTCAACTCTAGATAGTGACTAAATCGATTGTTCTAACTTGGATATCTGCGCATACCGCCAAAGTTCAGAACAACAGTTAATGGCCTTAAGGATTGAAGCTGTATCAAGACCTGCTAGCCTTCGACTTTCTTTAGCAAGTACTGCGAACTGTGGATGACAGTAGTTCGATATACCTACGACACACAAATAAACTCATTCCGAATATGTCCCTTCATTAAACTACTTGTTATAGTGATTTTGAAGTTTTATTTATTTATTGAAGTACATAAATACTGGTACAAGTGGGAACCTGAATAAATATACTCCACATAAATAAGTAAATGGAATTGTGAAGGGATAGAAAGGAGAGAATGTATGATCGCTACTGGCTTCTATTCAGAACCATGTCTGATAATGCCTCAAGTCAGTATTCCATTATCTCTAGAACCCCAACCAGGGAGTCGTGAGGGGTGGACAGATGCCAGTCCTGTACAGCTTTCTCTCATACCACGACAATATGTCATACACTGACCACCTCTCCGCTTTACCCAACCAGTCCCAACATCGGCAAGTACTGAACGATGTGAATTTCTCTGGGACAACATTCGTAGCACATATTCAAGTTATTGAAGTCGGTATTTGCAGATGGCGACACCAATCGAATTATCGTCACAACCACTGAACACATGTTGCTGCATCTCCGCCTTGCTAACATGGTGTTACCACTGGATGTCAGCAATCCTTCGGAGACAATGACGATCGAATGCAGAGTCGTCTGACGTCCTTAACTCGGAGAGGCCAGGTTTCACGAGTATAGAGCAGAACTGCTCTCACCACCACATTGTAAATCCGGACTTTTTAACCACATTAATATCACGAAGGCGCCGAAGATGGCCCAGATTGTCACAAGCTGCTATGGCTTTCATGATACGATATGATCTTATCACTCACGCCACCACCAGGACTTGCTCAGCTACCCAGACACACGAATTCTTTCGACTACTTTAAACAAATTACCACAAAGTAAGTGTAGGCACATATTTCTACTAGTCTTGTAAAGAACTTCGCATTTAGGTGTAAAGTATGTACCATACATACGGACACTGATTGTCAACTGATAATGTACGATTTTCATAGGTTGATTATCATCGTACAGTAAGACAATATCATCCTCATACTGAAGATCAAACAGTGCTTCTCTAAGTAATAGATCAACACCACCACTATCTACTTCTATCGGAGCTGTTTCTAGAATGTTATTCATGTCAAAGCTGAACAGGAATCATGAGATTGAGCAGCCCCGTCCAATCCTAATCTTAAATTAGGACAATAGAGAGAAACGGTTGCGTGTCCTCAGTCTGCCTGAGGTGTGACATGACTAGGAATAGGTAACAATGTCGTAAGTGTATTCGCTCTATTTCCCTCTAGTTCTTGAGTCTAAAAGATATCTTGCTTTTTGTGTGGCAAATCCATTCTTTCTCGAATCACACTGCCTATGCCTAATCTTTTATCACCGCTAATAATATTACTAATTCTACTCATCTGGGAGATTTTTGGTAATTTTATCTCCCTGAACTGATGTGAGACAAATGGGACCGATGCAAAACCGTGCAAGGCTCAACATTGCTTATGACTAACTGACAGATAAGCAGCTGGCCTGAACAATAGGTGTGAGTCAGCCACATCAAAACGAGCTTCATGTATCCGTGCCGAGATTACACTAATTCACTACGACTGATGAGACTCCAAGGTATGTTAGGTGGTCAAAGCATTCGAATACTTACCCCCATGTCTTGATGTAACAACCAGTTGGAATTCTATAAATATCATTCAGCCTTGACCCTTTGTGGTTACAGCTTATTCATCGAGGATGGATAGAAAAGTCAAACTAATGACCAAGGTAATTTGGCACTTTCGGACCATTTTATTTAGAGATTTTTTAAACAGACCCTCAATATTTACTCATTTTCCCCCTTCGCTTTAATATCAACTTTTTAACTTGAGATTCCTAATGAAGCACATGGTCAAATAATGTCGAACGAAGTGAACAGATAAAGATTTTTCATTTCCATTGACTGTATAATTTAGTAAACCACCTTAAGTTACTAGGATACATTTTCTAGGAGCACTAGTGAAATAGAACTCATCGTTTTATGCTGCAATTGCTGAAGTATTTTAGTTGCCACATTTGCCGACAGCTCAAGGAGTGAACAACTAAAAAGTGAAATATCAACAGACAAACGCAGTAGTTTTCAGATATACCGCATACTGACTCCATCGATTAAACTATCTCCTCAACTTGGGATTTTAAGCTTAACCTTAATAATACACACTGACCTTAAGGTCAGCTGCTAGCACCATATATCCCACCCTGGAACGCCGTCTCAACTATATGGCAACACAGGAGAATGTTGCACAGTATACTCGCATTGATAGTCACAAACCTCATCCGGATTACAGACAAGAATCTTCACTCAACAATCAGCCTCCAAAAAGCGGCATAACCTCCAGAACAAACTATGTCTTTAAACCTTTCAGATATGATGCACAGTACTCAGTCTCCACTAAATATATTACTTCGTCATCGGGATCTAAATGCGAAGTTCATTCGTAGACTTTAGTTAAGGACATTTAAAGATATACGTTAAAGGTAACCTTATATAACAAGGCTCGCATCAGAGCACTTTGAGCCAAACAAAGTATTTCATAGCTGAAGGCTAATCCATCCTTCTGTCTCAAATATGTTTTCCCGTATGCGAGGGTGGTCGCCTCAGCTAGACTCTGAACTGAAACTCATCCCTCATAGGCCAAGAACGCGCTAAAACGTCGAAGAAAACTTTGACATACACTTTATTGCGGCTACTGCGACCTTCACTGCACACGAGACATTTTTGTCGAATGTTGTTTCAAGGCCACTGATCCATTTTCCAATTCCTGGATGCTGTGAAGAACCGAGAACTATCATAACAGTTAGGCGTTCTAAGCCAGAATTTTAGTTTTGTGAGGTTATCTTTAGGTGGAGAGATTCACTAACCTGATCAACATCAGCTTCCCCTATATGAATAATGTATTTCGAACAGACGCAGTTTATACACAAACAAGTCAGACCGCATCATTCCATAAAATAGAAAGTAGGAATTATACAAGATCAGGTCGAAAGTGGCTGCGAGTGTGAGAGACTGTAACTAATAAAGTGGGAATAACTTAAGTTCAGTAAACCGTATAGTAGTAGCCAATAGGTCAAATGGAAGCTTATAATAAGAAAATGAATATACATGTAACTTAGTTACTTAATAATTATACAATGAGAATATATATCGCAAAATCCATATATAGGTCCTGACAGTTACCGTTCAATTATTCTTCGTCCAGATATGACACCTATGGTTGCCGGGATCCAAAAGTAATTCCGTGCAACATTTGTTCCCTGAGGATGCTGAAGCCCATGTGAGTCGTTGGTTTGGGGTCAGGACCGCCTACCAACTACTTCCGTACCTACCTTTTCCCAGCACTTCTCTGTTGTATAGCTTGGTAAGTCATACTACTGACTGCGATGAAAATGCGTACTTAACATACTATTTTAAAGTATTCACTGCTTTGAACAAGCGCTATCGCTGTTTAGAACATTCAACACAGTGCTTTATGTGTATATTTTGTCAATATTTGAAGAAATTACATAAACTCATCATGTGTCCAAGCACAAATATAACACATTTCATTCTACTTCGACCGTTACAATTCAGCTTTATTATGTAAATAATATTGAGTTATTAAACAAATTCATTTAGATTATTGCCACATATTACGTGGGAGATGATCATTCGATGGAAATGGTTATTCAGTTGCCAAACAACTATCCTTTAAGTCCAATTACTGTTAGTAAAGGGCGTAGTGTTGGTGTAGGAAGTCAACAGTGGCAGTCATGGCTTTTACAAATGTCTGTTTTTGTTAATAATCATGTGAGTTGATAGACGTTTATTCTTATTTTGTGTATTTCGATGTAATCTTTTTTCCAGTTAACCATTGTTGATTGTGTCTGATTGGCATTTGAAACCAATCACGTTTATAGATATTTATCTGAATTTAGTGTTAAATATATAATATAGACTGTAATCTAATGCTTTCATCTGAAATTAGGAGTGTCTCCTTCAATTTCATTTTAAGTCCTTTGTGGTGTGATAGATAATTATTCCAATTGTAATAAGTTTTTACTAGTTAATTCCATAGGTAAGGTATGTCTAAAATGTTAATCAACAATATGATTTGGTGAGTAGAATACTGCTTATGCAGGCATAACAAATAAAACATCACATTTTGAACTACTTTACATCGTGTTAACACGACGAGTTCCAACATTTACTCTTAATCCAATATATCAGAGCGTTGATTGTGACATTACAGCTTAGAAGCAGCACTCCTCAACCCTACATTTGAGCTCGATTTAGATATCTTTAAGCTTATTGCCTTTGGTCGAACACTATAACCTTAACTGTCTGCTGAATACTAAAGCGCTAGTTAGGAAAGAGTGATTTTTGTGGATAAAGTGAAAGTAGGGAAAGAAAAGGGAAATTCAAGTTTTATGAAGTGACTTGGATAAGTATTCACTTCAGACTAGCAATTTAGTAGTGACCTTTAGGCAAATTTTCCGCAACTTATGTCCATCCATAGTACATGTGTCAGCCACTCTATCTATATAGGTTCACAGTTGCATCAAATGGTTTACTCTAAACGCTAAATTAAGCCTATCTCATTCGGTGGTCTCGTAACATGAGAGCGATAGTGGGACTACAGAGTTTTCAAATTTGTGTCAGTATTGAAAACCACATAAAAAAATAGTTAAATGGGTTTTTGAAAAGTTTTACACTTAGTTTCCCTAATTATCTTGAAAAGAAGGGGGACCGTGTATGTGAAATTTCTTAAGGAAAGGCCCCTCTGCACATGCTTTTGTAAAATAATCAGAATTTGGGTGGAACAGAAAACGTTCAAATAATATAATCGCTACAAAGTGATATGTTCACTTCTATATGTCGGACTTATTAAATAGAACATAATCTAAAATACACTCATTCCATAATTCGTATTCTGAAATCTGGTTGTTATTATTTGTATTGAACATCCAAATTTAACGAACTTTTATTAAACAAGTTCCATGAGTGTGAATCAACACCATTAAAACGATATATTATTTAACCTAAATCTCTTGAATTGAATTAGTATTTCTGCCTCTGTGTTGTTTGTGTCATTTAGAATGGATCGATTTTAGATGGTATTGATTTGTGGCAAAGTAATGTTCGGAAAAAATTCGATGGTGTTGAAGAATGTGCAATTTGTTACTCGATTGTGCACAACACAAATTTCAGTTTGCCTAAAATGCGATGTCACACCTGTCGTAAACTATTTCATTATGCTTGCATGTACAAATGGTTTACAACTAGTCGAAATCCTGCTTGTCCATTGTGTAGACACTTGTTTATTGATCCAACCGGTCGTCCTGTATCAACATAATGGGTAAAGAAAATTTTGATGATCGATGCAGCAAGAAAATGTAGTATTTCTAATTAATCTGAATCAAATGATTATTTGTTTCATTATTTCCCTTAAATCTTGTTTTTTGTTACTTTTGAGAAGGATTACTCTTTTTATTTTTAAGTAGTTATTATTATTATATTGTTTCTGAACTGTTCTGTGTAACATAAACTATCTGAATTTTCTGTATGTTTAATGTGAATGCAAAATGTTTGTCAACTTTCTTTATGGCGAATTACTTCTTGAGAAAATGTACAAATGATGATACAGATCTCAGATATCTGTATTGTGTTAGTTCTTTTCTAGTAGGCTTGTGTATCTGTTCTTCTATGGAATGAGTGACTTGAATGTACGAACACCACTTCCCAAGGCGACGGGTTCCAAGGGTTGGTGACCCGGTGAGAAAACCTGTATGCTACGGGTATTTGTTCAACCTTAGCTTTCGAGCTCGCCTGTTATGCTATTTGATATGTCCCGATCTAATGGGAAGTAATGGAAAAGATACATCAGATCCGACATCATTTCTCATTATTCTATACACCTGAATCAGATCACCTTTGAATAAACGATAGAACAAAGTAAGGAGGTCCTACTTCTCTATTCGATCTATGTAGACCTCTGTGGATCATAAACGTTGATGGTCTCTGTCGAATGATTGGGGGCCTACTCAAGTTAGACGTGAATGGTGTGACCAACAGCTAATGTCGAAGTCACACTTCACGATTAGCACCTTACGTGGGTTACTCCGTCGTATCTGGGTGCTATGGATGCTTTGAAGACCGTACAACACAAAGGATGTTATTACAGAAATATATAAGTTGAAGTAGGTACAGGCGAATGTGTGACCATCACCACATAGGCCAGTACATTGCGTACGATTAACTGACGCGTGTCGGTTGTCCTTGACTTTGACATGGATCAATGATCTGTTCGATATTCGGTGACCCAACTGCCGGATGATTTGGCTAGTGCTCGGTGATATTTCATTGGCCCTACACCTTTGTTAGACCTCGGGATTCTCAAATCCCACTGGTAGTTAGCTTTCGTAATCCCTCCAACTCATGACAGTCGTCCTCAAGAGAAGTTTATCATGACAAGAGATTAGCGAACAGCAATATTAATAATAGCAGTAATCTTGATAGGAATAATTGTGGCAGTAATTGAAACTCATGAGACAAGCATCAGGTTCAGCTAATCCTGACGAAGGATAGTAAACCGTTTTGATTTGGGTTATAAACAATTTTAACTGTATTGTTCGTTATTTTTTACCATGGGAACCTTTAACAGTAATGTAGGAGCTTTAGTATCGAGGTATTTTATGTTTAATGAGAGGGATGTCTTACACTACAGAAAATGACACAGTACTTCATAACTGAATAAACGGTTCTATTTTTCAACCATTTACCAGGCATATTAAGTAAATTCATTTTTAGGAGGTGTCAGCTCTTTCTATTGGGTTACTTTGAATTTTTCGAGATTATTGGTCATTATTAAATGGTACAACGTACAATCGAGTAACCGTGTTATTGTGCAGTTTGGCTACTACCATTGACTCCAAGTAACTCAAAGAATATTTGTAACCGATATAAAAAGACGTACTGGTTTGTTTCAACAAAGTAGATGTTGGTTGAGTTGTGTCGTTGTCTGTACTAGCGTCGAAGTATTGGATTTTTAGTCGTTTCTCTTGTATTGTTAGAAAACGTGCATATTGAGAATTAAATTCACGGTTGTCCGTACAACGTTACTCACTGTCTTCGCTAAAAGTGAATCTTTTCAAGCACTATGTCTCTGCACATTAGTTGATTGTTAGACAGAATCATAGTGAGGAATTCAGCGATTTCAAGGTTAGTGACGGTTTAGCTGCATAGCACGCCATTTTGTGGCAGAGAAACTATTAGAATATTAGTTAGGATATAATTGCATAAATCACACCCAAACTTATGTTTCGATACGGTTGGCTATTATAGAGACTCAAAGAAGTCTCAAAACACCATATTGCATACTTATTCTCCCGCGTTTACCAGTGTTAGTAATTCACGTAATTGAACATATTTGAAGGTACTACTTTATTTTCTGTTAGATACAAGCTATTATGATGACATAAATGTAGAGTATACAAGAAATATCTTTTAACATAGGGGGAAATAAGTTAGTTCAAAGCAAACATTTGTGATTCACATAAACATTTCACTCGTAATCGTCGATTCAATCAAAGGCTTTAATATTCCGATGAGCGATGCAAGGATTAGTTATGATATTCGACTTGCAGGATAACTCATGGATCTTACATTCTCTTCAATGAAGATGGATCCTCTATACATATAAGTGCATCACATGTTTACTGACGTCTGTTACACATCTTGCAGCATAGGTCACCCACCAAAGATTTAAAAACAACTGTGTTCTGAGCTCTTCTTTTGATATCTGCCTCCAATTTACAGCGCAATGTGTTCTTTTTTCATTTTCTTTGAGGATCTGGATTTAGTGCTCGTTTTCAGTGCACTTTACTAATTTCGTTAAGGTGTGTTCTATCTGTTTTTCCTTATTTGCTCAACAAATGGAAGTTTGCTTGGTTTCTGACACAGGCGGTTGTTGCTGATGGTATCTGGAAAATGGATCCATGATATCTTGAGTGAATAGTTGTTTCTAGATTCACGTACTTACTTTACTATGGTCGTGATATTTATCCGAGTTTCAGTTCCTTATCAAGAAATCAATTGTAGTGTTTGTATTGAATATTCTGACGTTGGTGTTGGTCGACAGATTTTTTGAGATCTAGTTGTTTTTCAGGTGAATGAACGATGTAATTTGTAGCGGCAAATAAATCCCCGAAATCAGTAGCTCTGTACGTCTTTGACATTTGATGCTGATCGCATTAGTTTTAATGGACTCTCCTAGCAGAATGCGCTCGGTCACACATCCGCACCAGATCACGATAGGGTACGCCTACAACCGCTAGAAAGCTCAGATTAGTCATTTCTCTATATATCGATATTTCAACAAATATATATTCGAACCTCTGATTTGACTGGGTTGGTATATTTCGATTATAGGTGTTACTGGTTAGGGTGTTGTCAAATTCCGAGTACTAGTGGCATCTGTAACTCGGATTGTCACTTATAGACTGATCCTACTGAAGTTGTGACACCCGCTTAAATCCCCTTTTCTTGACTCTTTAATGAAGTATTCATCCTCCAAGTCTTTTGGGACGTCTTGGTTTTCTTATATTTATCTAGAGAACACGAGGGATTGTGCAAATAATTATGTGTTTGAATTCAGTCCTTCAGCCATTATTCTGTCTGATCTTATGTAACGTCTGGGAAGACCAAAGACCGTGATATACTTTGAAACGTTTGTCTTCACGAAGATCCATTGTATGTGCACATGTAAACAACTTTTCACGTAAATATGAGTTATGTGCAACGATAAGGTAAATTTGAGCAATCAAATGGCTGATTAACTTCTCTTGAACTCAAAAAATTGTAACCGTATCGTAACACTACGACAAAAGACTAAAGAATCCGATATGTTTACTCCAGGTTATCACAAAGATGTTGATTGTTGACCGAATTTTGAAATAAAGGTTGTAGATTGTGTTTGCAAGGTCGCCTTGTGTGCTTTGTTATTTATCTGAAAGTGTTTAAGCCGAAATATCAGTGTACGTTAGCACTCTGGATTCTTTTGAGTTATAAGATCATATCTAAAAGGAAAGTATTACAAATTGAGCTACCCTGATATGATTATTTAATCCTATTGGTGTTTCCACATAAGTTTTCCCTAATAATTGTTGTCTTCAATCGCGAATCACAGCTCACAGTTAGTTAAACTGTTCGCTCGAAATTCTCATATTCGTGATGGATGGCGTTGGAGTTTGATTTTGACGGGATATAGGTTCTGCAAGTTGCCTTGGATGTTCAGATGAGTAATGTATTTTGTGAGATTATAATGTACTCAGCTTATTTTATTGTAAGGTTCACGCGGCTATTCAACCGGGGTTAGTGGCGTTTCTGGTACAAGGCTTAAGTTGAATTACCTTGTCTGTTTTTTTACTATTGTATGAAAAACCGTGTGTTATAAAGACACAATCAGACCCATTTTCGAATTAAATCACATAAAGTTTGTGGCAATTATCGAAAAATAAATATTTTTCCAGCGGCGTTTAAAATATTGGTAAAAGGCGTATCGGATCTCTTTATTTCACGGATCCGTTGATCATCTCTAGATGCTTTTTTGTGATGTTGCTATCATTAATCGCTACATTTTTAACTGTCTATTCTTGAGACGTTTAGTAAAATATGATGAGGGTACCTAACCACGTATCTTCATCAATGAAGATCGTCAGTCGCTTTTGCCTTCTATGATGTTCTGGAAACATTTCTCAGTAAAATATCTAGTGGTCACATGTATCTGTTACCTTAAAAATATATTTCCATCTTGGATAAATGATCTCTCAATATATGATCACATGGAAGTTACCTAAATTGTGTGTTGTCGGTTAGGGATTAGTGTATTTTTAGAATAACATTCACCGTGCACCTCTGAATTCCGAATTATTTTCATATTGCTGAGCAGGTATGCGATTAGCTTGGACAGTTGGCATTTTGAATATAATTTAGAAATTCATGCATCTGTGTAGTTGTATGAATGTTGTGATAGACAAAATCAACTTCAGACTAGCGGCTTATATCAATATAGGCTACCCTTGATTCCATGGTGATACTTATTTCACCGCAGAATGTTGGGTTTGTGGTGCTATCATAAAATCAATCTTGTTCGACGTTTGAAAAATTTATTCTTTCCATGCTAGTAAATTTTCGCCAAACCTCTTAGGTCGTCGTTCCCAAGAAAGATCTATATTAATTGAAAACGCCTTCTAATTCATATTAAAATTAATCGATCGCTTTTGGACAACTTAGATTATCTTTGAATCAATGGTCCCTTTAAATATCGAATTCGGCTGTTTAGATATGTATTACAAATGTCGTTCAAGAGAATTTTAAATTAAACATTGCCTTGTGACCAAGACTGGATCAAAGGATAATATACTGTATGGTGTCACTATGCTGTTTGAAAATCATATGTTTGGTTAGCATCTGTTAGTACACCACAACTCATATGGGTTCCTGGAGGTCTTGCTACGTAACTTCCCTTACCCACTTATCTTTGTTCTGTTGATGTATGTATTTGCATCGATTTTGTATGTTTTCAACAGTGAAATGCTTCACTTCATGTTCTCGAAAAATAATTCATACTGGGTTATTCGAATTTTTTTGAGACTACGCTTT